ATCACTTTTATCTGAATCGTTATCAGATAAAGCTTCAAATTCACTAATTCCATTATCAATTTGATGAGAAATATTGAGGTTATTATCCAGAGCAGTGGTGTTGGAAGGTTCATTATCTGAAGTGTTCAACCCATGTTTTTTGCAATTGCTTTGAACGACTGTTTTGGGCAAAGCGTCAATAGGCTGAGGAAAATAAAACCCAGTTTTACCTATGTAATCATAGTTATAGGTTCCATCAATAACCATTTCCCCTTGATTGATTTCGGACAAATAAATAAAAGTTAAAATAAAATAATTTTAACTTCTTCTCAAATTTTTTTACTTTCAGACCAATAGCTTATAACTAAAACCAAGATTACTAAATATTAGTGATGTGCCGGGTACCCGGTTCGGACCCGGAGACCCGGTAATTCGGCAGTTTTACCGGGTACCCGGTATCGGCCATTTTGTTGCAGTACCCGGCACCGGGTATCTTCAAATTGATTTTTTCTTTAGTTAAACTTTAACCATTAAACTTCTTGATATAAGTCTAAGAGTGTTACGTAGTCGATAACCACAAAGTTCTATTAACTTAAAACAATCTCACTTAAAATATTTTTTAATACACTTTTGCAAAAAAAATTTATACGGATACAAAAACTGTAACGCTAAATGAAATAATTCGAGAATACGAATAAAAAGAATGGGAAACAAAGTTTTAGAATAGCTTCTTTTTATTCTGTTAGAACACAAGATAATTTTTAGCAATTTAGTTTTGAATGAAACGCTTATAATGCTTTCGAACGCTGATAGACTTTTCATTCGTATCAAGCAAAAATCATAAAAGTAGAGATATAAGGTAAATATTATACACATTTTTTATATTTTAATTTCGAGCGTATTATTAAAAAAATTATCGTTTCATATAAAATAAACGAAAACTTTGATATCAAAACTAGTTTCATTATCTTTATAGAAATTTTATTTGAAAGAAAAGTTATGGCAAAAAAAAGTATAGCGTGGGGAAGTTCTTTGATATAAGCGCGACTCCTCATATGAGTAAGTGCAAACTATGTGATAGTTTAATTACGAGAGGAGGAAAATCTTTCAAGTCTTATGGAACTACAGCAATGGTAAAACATTTGCGTTTAAAGCATTCCAAAGAGTTTGAACTTGCGGAAGAAAAAAAAAAGGTTCAATCGTTGCCGTCTATTTCTGAAGCCTCAGTTGCTTCTACCACCAATACAGTACAAAGTAACATTATTCAGGCTTTACAAAAAAAAAAACAGTGGAATATTGATGACCACAGATCTATTCGAATCCATAAAATAATAGGAAAACTTATCACATTGGATATTCAGCCATTTTCTATTGTTGAAGATACGGGGTTTAATGAACTGATTAAAGATGCTTACCCCAATTACAAATTACCATGTAGAACATATTTCAGCCAAAACGTAATCCCTAGCATGTATGATGAACTTTTTAAAGATATAAAAATAAAAATCTCCGCGGAAAACTATTTGTCTCTGACGACAGATATTTGGACAGCGGATACTGCAAAAATCGCATTTTTAAGCATTACTGGACATTGGATAGATCTAACTAAATTTTCCCAAGAAACTGCTGTTCTTCGAGTAATTCATTTTCCGGAAAAGCACACAGGTGTTCATATAAAAGAGTATTTACAAAAAGGTTTAGAAACTTTTGAAATCCCGTTAAGCAAAATTCATCTTATTGTTACCGATAATGCAAGCAATATGAAGGCTGCAGTAAAAAACAGTGGAATGTCATCAATTCCATGCTTTACCCATACTTTGCAGCTATGTATTCATGACTCTATATTTAGCCAAGAAATCATCAAGGAAATTTTAACTTTATGCAGAGGAATTACGACACATTTTAATCATTCACCAATAGCATGTGCAAAATTAAAATCAATTCAGCAGCAGTTAAGTACTGTACCTCACAAAATGAAACAAGATGTTCCAACTCGCTGGAACAGTTCATTTGAAATGCTACAAAGAACGTTTGAACAAAAAGTTCCTTTGGCCACCTATGCAGCAGAATATGATGAAATTAAACTTCCTACTAATTATCAATGGGGAATAGTCGAAAAACTTGTTCACATTCTTGCTCCATTTGAAAACTTAACAAAAAAATGTGGTAGGAGGGACGAAACTTGCGCACAAATTATACCATCTGTTCTTGCATTAAAAGTTTTATTACAAAAAGCTTCATCAAGTGATATATACGCTGGGATTATGACGATGATCGATGAACTAATAAAATCTGTTACTAAAAGACTTGATAAATTTTTGCTTAATAAAATGTTATGTGTATCAACATTTTTGGATCCACGACATAAATTACTTTATCAACATGCAGATGAAAATGTTATTAAGGAGTGGGTTGAAGAAGCATGGAAAGAAATGCAAGGAGCGCAAGATGTTGTTGACTCTGACTCCGACAATGCTCCAATAGTAAAAGCTCCAGCATCTAATGGATTCATTAGCATTGATGATTGTTTTAAAGATGTAGCTTCTATGAGAACCGGAAGAAAGCAAAGTGAAAGACGTTCCGAGGCAGAAAGAGAATTAGTAGATATTGAAGTTGTTACCACTGACATAATTAAAAAGCAAACAATATTAAAGTCTGCAATTTCTCAAGAAATAGACAATTACTTATCTCTGCCTCTTTTAGAAAATAAAAGTTCTCCGTTTTTGTGGTGGAGTAAATGTGGAATGCAATTTGAAAAACTAAAAAAGATGGCATTAAAATATCTTACAGCACCTCCGTCATCAATAGAAAGTGAAAGGTTATTTAGTGCTGGTGGGGACATATACGAAGCAACAAGGAGCAGACTAAAAGCAGATAACGGAGAATACCTAATGTTTGTGCATTACAATCTAAAGTTAATAAAACAATTAAAATAAGATACAGCAAATAAGTGTTGTTTAAGTTCTTTTTATTTGTTTTATTTTATTCACTGTACAGTCGAGAAGGTCTACCTTTTTTTGCAATTCTTTATATTTCTTAATCTTTTGCTTTCCATAATATAACTTTCAATGGCGGAACTTCAAATTTTGCCCCTTTCCCCACAAAATATTATTTAGGCCCGCTCCACCAGGAAAGAAAAATAATTTTAAACTAAATATAGTTGTTAAAAAACTGTTGCACAACTTTTTAAAATAGTTAGGCCCTGCAACTCAGGCCCCTTACCCTGCATTGCGGGGTTTTGCTAAATAGTACGTCGGCCACATAACTCTTTGTTAGTTAGCGTAAAAAGCGTATTTTGTGTGAATAGTTCAGCCCTAGAGATTTCACAAATTTTTATTCCAACTTTTAAAAAATGGACTCGGTGCCGAGTACCCGGACTCGACCCAGTTTTTTCAGCCGGGTACCCGAATTCGGAGACTCGGCATAAACTGGTTTCGGCACATCTCTACTAAATATACAGGATGTGATATAATAAAAAATTATGTACTTGAATGAAAACATAAATATATTTTTCTCTCCGTAAAATTTGCATCTTTATTGAAAACGGTTAGCGATCTTTAGCATGCACCAAAAGGAGGTGTTATATATTTTAAAAATTGCAGACTACGGAAAAATTTATTGATATCAACTATGACGCAAAGATTGTCTCAAAAGCATCCGAAAATTTTATTACCATGCTTTTGAAATAAAAAATTTCGCTCTTTGAATATTTACTTATACAGGGTGGCCCATAAGTCACTTTACATTTTAAAAATTAAATAACTTTTTTTCTATTAATATATTTCTATTTCTCTTTTCAGAATTAAAAAATATAATCTTTGGAAATTTTTAGTATAGATACGTTTACAATAGAACAACGAGTGAAGATAAGTGAATTTTACTTTGAAAATGGACGGTCAATTGTTGCAATGCAAAGATCGTATATGCGCCATTTTAATGTTCGATATCTCCCTAGTAGGCCTGCAATAATGAACTTAGTGACGCGTTTTCAAGAGCATGGCTCTGTAAGTGATAGGACTAGAAGTGGACGAGGTTGTTCAGAACGTACACATGAAAATACTGAAGCTGCCAGCCGTGGCATTGAAGAGAACCCAACCACATCCACTCAAAGGCGTTCTCAAGAACTTGGCATCTCACGGAGTTCTCTGCAGCGCATTCAAAGAGACTTGGATATGTACCCTTACGAGATTCAATTAGTGCAATCTTTACAACCACCAGACTTTCAGAAACAACTAAATTATGCTGTCAGGTTTCAGAGAACTGCAAGAAATGACAATGAGTTTATTCACAAGTTGATCATGGGAGATGAAGCTCATTTCCATTTGAACGGACATGTGAATAAGCAGAACATCAGATTCTGGGGCACTGAAAATCTACACCAAGTTCATGTAAGTCAATTACACCCAGTTAAAGTCACAACATGGTGTGGAGTAACATCAGAAAAGGTTATTGTGCTCTTCTTCTTTGAAGATGTAAATGAAAATGCTGTGACTGTAACTGCTGAAAAATATCAAGACATGCTAGCGAATTTTGTTCAACCTCAGTTAGCAAACCTGGCATATTATTAGTGGCAACAAGATGGAGCAACTGCACATACCGCTAGAGCCACAATGCAGTTGTTAACTGCAATGTTTCAGGATCGGATAATCTCTCTTAAATCCGATTTTGAATGGCCTCCATGTTCTCCTGATTTGACAGCACCAGATTTTTGGCTTTGGGCATATCTTAAAGACAAAGTGTACGCAAATAAGCGTACCCAAACTATTCAAGATCTCAAGGCAAACATACGACAGGAAATTCTTTCCCTACAACCTCAGATGTTAAGAAGTGTTGTAGAGAATAGCTTAAAAAGAGCTCGACATTGTGAAGACAAGAATGGAGGCTATTTAAGAGACATTATCTAGTCAGAACTAACTTACAGACTCTAAACTTTGACATAAAAAAAGAATTAATTAAATACAGTCGTTTAAGAAAAAGTTATTTAATTTTTAAAATGTAAAGTGACTTATGGGCCACCCTGTATTTGTTTATTGATATTTATATTGTATTTATCAAAAAAATTTAAAAGTTGAATAAAATGGACGAGAATAATTTGGGAGATTGTAATGTTTGTGTGATTGTTTCTTCATTAGATCCCAAAGATTTTGTTGGTAAGATTTTATATTTAATGTGAATATATCTGAACAAAAATATTAATAATATTAATATAGTAATATGATATCAACTGATGGCATTAATTTATTTATATTAGTAATATAAATTAATTAATGTCATTAAGTGTATTTAAGCCTTAATTGCACTAAAACAAAGTTAAACTTAAAAATAAAATTAGTTAAAATGTTATTAACTTAGTTTAATTAACATTGTTTAATGTTTTTTAAGTATCAAGAATTGAGACTTTGTGATTGTATAACTAACGTATATCTTAAAAAATTAATATATTTCGTTTTTTGCTTTTATATTTAATTGATGCAGGCTTTAAGTTTAACTTAAACTTGAAACTTTGCTCTAAGGCACATTCTTTTTGCATTTAATTTATGACATAAACTAATACATTTTTTAATAAATATTTTACATATGGCAAATATTAGATAGAAAAATGTATACTTATGAAGTTAAATATTCGGTAAAAGAAACAAGTTTTAATTTTTTTTTTTAATTTTGAAATATAGTTATTATTCAAAAATTTTTATTTCATAATTTTCATTTATTTACTATGTGCAGAACCAGAATCAACAACAGTACTTTTTGATTTCGTTGAAGAAACTCACGAAGAACGATACATTTTTAATGCGTATAGAGATGTTTGTTTAAAACTAAAAGAACACCAAATATTGCACACAGTGCATTATGTTTCAGCATTCTCCAGAGGAATGGGAAAGGAATTACAAGGTTTGCAAATTTAAAAAATTTTTACAATCCAACAATGTTTATAGAAGTATATGTTTATGCGTAAAATAAAAGATGTATGTATAGATGTAATTTGAATGTTAGTTATTTGCATTCCCATTTAAAATGCATTTATTTTATTTAAAATTATCTTTTTTTAAAAAATACAAATTTTTTAATTTTCAACCATTCATTATTTTTGTGTATATAAAATTACAATTTAAAATTATTCAAAGAAAATAATAAAAATTTTGACTGTCCAAAAAAACAATTGACCATCAATTCCATGTGTTAGCTGGTCAAATTGGCTGCTTGCCTTCAACTTTTTTTTCTATGCTGCTGTTGCATGTTCTCCAGAAGTCACAAGAGCCTAATTTTTTAGATGAAATACAAAATTTCATGACCTGAGAATAGTGTGATAGTGAGAATAGTGGGTTTATGCATTAGACAAAACCTTTTTACAATAGTTTCTAGCAATAGTAAACGGACATTTGTTTTCTGGAGAAATGTTTTGCTGATAGTTATGGAAGTAATGATAAGTAAAAAGGTAGAAAAGTAAAAAAAATTATCAATATTGATCTTTTCTATTCCTTTTATATTTTATATTATACTTCTAGAGTCTATTTTATTAAGTTAAACAATTTTAATGTAAATATTTGTAATTTTAAAAATAAAGTAGTTTTTGAAATATTTACTTATTTAAAATTAAATAAAATAAAATAATGCATTAATATCCTTCTATATCCTACAATCTTGGTTTATAAATAGATATTAAATTATATTTTTATTTTTTCATTTTCTGAAATAAGTTGTTTTAGATATAATGGCAATATTTATTTATTTGTTTTATAGAATTGACAAAAAAAAATCATAAAGTTTTTTTTGAAGATAAAGATTTTCCCTATTCTGGAGTTCCTTTTATTATATCTTCACAGTCTACTCTTGACTGTCAACAAGGGAAAGACCGAAATGTTAAAGTAAAGGCTGAGTACAGAGAGAAAAAAAATGATGAAGCGGTAAGTTACACAACAGCTTGCGGTAAGTTACACAACAGTTCGTGCTAAAAAATTATTATTAATTTTTTTTTTATTGTTTAATTTTTTTTTTATTGTTATCAATATCTTATCTTTAACATTTAATACATATCGATAAAACTGTCTTTTTCAATTATGAGATTTTTTAGTTTTTTCTTCTTATAAATTTATTATTATTTATTTTAAGTTCTTTTAAATAATGTATCAATCTCATACTGAAATTAAAAATTATTTTTCATTATCTCTACCAAATTTTATTTTAAAATTTTTATGTTCATATTTGGTTTTATAACTAGTTTTGTTTAATTTTAAATTGTATATTATTGTTGCATTCCAATGTCTCACTTTGTAACCTCAGTTATATAACTAACAGGTAAAATCTCAACGGTAACATTTCCCTGCCATGGTATTATATCTTTTAAAACTCAAGTGTTTTGTTTTGATTTTTTTTTTATGTTTCTTGCATTTGCGCATCTCACTCTCTTTTAAGTTGTTTTCTATCAAAAATATAAAAAATTAGTTTTGAATCACTAACCGCTTCAAAGTTAAGGGGCTTCATTTCAAAATCACCCTAGTTAAAATTATCCCTATTCGATTTTCCATTTTCGCTTCAATCCACATTACCATTATAAGTTAGTTAAATATATTCAGCCATCTTATTGTTTTTTTCAAAACAATATATTAGATAGTACTTCTGTCTCTAATTATAACACAAAAAAATGGCTTTGAGTCTTTCATCTAGCTATGGACTTTGCTAAATCCAAATCTTATTACAAGGTATGGATGCAGAGCTGATATCACATAGGCAAATTATAATAGTTATTCTTAACTCTTAAACTGTTGCATCACCATCTGGTACTACTTTATTAGTTCGTTTTCCTTCTTTATCCCAAAACATGGACGTTGTCATGAGTCATCAAGAGAGGTGTGTCCTATGACCCTCACCATAGCCGTCTTTTACATCTACTACTCATTGGTAATTGTTTTATTTTCTGGTTCATCTAAGCCAGACTATTAATTCATGAAATTGCAGTAATGGAATAATTGTCATGAGAGGTGCTTTTTATTTTTTGTTGTTGAGGACAAACCCTTTTTGACATCTCCAACAAGTACAAAAATTATAATTTAAAATAAACGCATTATATGTAAATAAATGTTATATTTAATTTTTTTTTTCTAGGTATGTATATTTTATGATAAATTTAAACATTTGAAACTATTTTTAAAATAGTTTCAAATATTTAAATTTATCATAAAAAGTCTTTTAAAAATTTTTTATTGAAAGATAATTTTTTGCATGTTTAAATTATGAATAAGTTAAGTCTTCCTAGGATTTAATTGCCTTTTTTTTTTACAAAGTTTTAAAGTTTTAAAGTTTTTTTTTAAACTTGACTTTTAGTCAAAGAATGAAATGATTAAGTATTACATTTTAAAAAGACAATGTTTGTTTTTTTAGACAATTTTTTTTTGCAACTTTTTGAAAAAAATGTTTAAACAACTTAAAAGTATTATATTTTTTTCTTTTCAATAATTTAAATAAAATTTGTTTATTTATTAAACAATAAATAGGAGTAATATGTAAAAGTGTTTTGCGTAACTTTAATAAAGCGTTTCAAAAGATAAGTTTTAAAGTAATTTCTTTTAAATGCAATTAAAAACGTAACAAAAAGTAATTTTAGCTTGAGTTTTATTTTGAAACTTTTAATTTATTTTTAATTTACTTTACTTTTAATTTTTATAAATATAATAAAGTATTTAATTTATAGAATTTAATTTCCTTTGGTCAAAATGTCTGACTACTTTATATATATATATATATATATATATATATATATATATATATATATATATATATATATATATATATATATATATATATATATATATATATATATGTATATGTATATATATATATATATATATATATATATATATATGTATATATATATATTTATATTCTAATATATAGGCAAGAGACCATTCTTGTAGAAAACATAAAAATATTGTGCAAGTTACAAAGAAATTCGATTGCCCTGCAAAGGTTCACATAAAAGAAATACTAGAATTTCCAGAGTTTAAGGTATAGTACTTTGTATTTTTTAACAAGCGAAGATGATAGAGTAACTTATGATTTATAATATGATAATATTTAATAAAATTCCTGATTAAAGTAACAAGTTTAGGTTACAAAAAGAGAGTTGACTCTCTTTTTGTAAATAGATTGGGCAATCTGCCTAAAGTAGTTCGGTATCTGTCCATGTAAATCTTATCAATATATATTATACTTTACTAGAACCCTTTTATAAAATGTCTTATCAACAATAAATTTATACTTTTTTTATAATAAATGTTTATTATCACCAAAAGCTATTCTAGACCGTTTTCAACAGCGTTGACCGTATTTGGGCACCGATTTAGGGGCCGCCTTAATGAAAAATCAAGGACCTCTTTCTTTTTTAAATATTTTTTATGGCAAATATTGTTTTTTCCGATTATATCAGGTTATACTAGGAAAAAAATATGGGGTACCACTACCCATATTTTTTTTCTAGTATAGCCTCTGATCAAAACTTTGTATGTGTTATTAAACATGTATTTGTACATTTTCTTAAAGGTTTATAGAGATTATGATTGGCTCAGGAAAGACACATCAAAAAAACTCCGTTTAGCTTTGACTGGAAACAAAAATATGATAGTGTCTAGAAAGTATGTCTTGATTATACCAGATATTACTGTGCACAGAAACCATTTAATTGGCAATGTAAGTTTTATTACGTATTTATAACAATATCTTGTGTGTTTTACTTCTTTTTAACAATTAACTATACTTGTTAAAGGCAGCAGGTCTCATTCAACCAATTTCAGACGAACTTGTTATCAAAATTGGAGAACTAGTTAAAGGTGGAGTAAATAGTGTAACAGAGATGAGGCGGCATCTGGAGAACTTTGTTCACATCAATTTTAGTTCAAGAAGTATGCCAAATAAATCCAACAAACGCTTTTTCCCGTTGGATGAAACTATCCGCAACCATATGCTAAAAGCTAGAAAAAAAATGTGTCACTCCCTAATAGACCAAGAGTGTTTAAATAAAAAGGTAGCAGAATGGGCAAATAATTATAAAGAAGCTTTTATAAAGTTTCGTCCCAAAGGTGAAAACAATTTAGAGGACAATAATCAAGACCTTCAAAAGTCCTTGTTGTTCATTTTTCAAGATAAATGGCAAAGAAGGTTACTCTTGCGTTATGGTAATGAGCTATCTTTTCTTGATGCAACATACCGAACTACTCGATATGCACTTCCTCTCTTCTTCCTAGTTAAAATGACATAATGCGTGTTAAAAAACATATTTGGTATTTCCCTATTTGTGTCGTATTTGGCATTTGTCTCTTAACATGAACACAAATAACAAATACAAATTTTTAAGAAATTTTCTCTTCCAATTCTCATTTATTCAAAGAAAAGTTACTATTAAACTTTTATTTCTCTCATCTAAAATAAGAACGAGTGACGCAAAAAAAATATTAATATTCTATACAACTCTTATTCATTGGAAGTTTAATTACGCGAAACTTTTATTTCTTTTTTGTTCTACTCTTTTATAAAAAGAGAGCGCAATGAAATAAAAACTTTTCTTTCTTAACATAAAATTATACTTAGAGATAAAATTAAATTAGAAATAAATCAACAATGATTTGATTGAGATAATAAATATTCATAATTTAAAAACATTGAATATATGGCGCAATAACAATTTATAACAACGAACCAGCACAAAATACTTGAGGTTTTTAATATCTTTTTAAATGTTAAAAATAGAAAAAGAAAACTAAACAAATAATCAAAAAAAATTTTAATAAAAATATTTCCAGAATTTCATTTGTAAAGTCTAGCCTGACGTCAAATATTAAAACTTTTATGAATTAGGCGCGCTTCAAAGGAATTGCCGAAGTCTGTAGATTGCGACTTATGATTTGAAGACTCAGAGTTATTGAATAAAATGAAGAAGGCAAGCTTCGGCTAAAACAATAACATTAGTTTTTCTCGGTATGCATTCATTATTTATTTTTAAACAAAAAAACTTGGTACAAACCTTTTTTTTTTTTTTAATAATCTTTAATATGAATCCAAGATGTGTTGGGAGTTTGGGATCCCTTTAAATTTATTGAAACAATTAATATGTATAAATTTTTTAAGGCAAATGGCTCAATGTTTTAATTGCAAAAATTGGTTTCATCGTGAATGCGAAAGAATTCCTCAAAGTGCATTTGAAAAAAAAGATGAGTTTTGGAATTGTCATGATTGCTTCAAAGGATGTACAATGAAGTAATATTTTTAAAAATTTTTTACAAAAGCAAAAGCTTTTTGAATGCAGTACTTAAGTAATTTTTGGGAAAAGATGTCCCAAAAAAGACTGCTTTTAATCACTATATGTTCCTGGTTTTAAAGAAATTAAACGGCCACAGAATTTAATGTTTTAAAACTGAACATTTTTTACTCCAGCTTAAAAATTTTTTTAAGCTGGATTTTTTAATAAGTCTTTCCTATAGCTTAAATATTGAGATTTTTTATAAAGTAGTACATCTCAGCACTTTTATAGTTTGTTGGCACTAAAGTCCAGAAATAGTGATAAATAACTTTTGAAAGCGTTTTTTTTGTTACTTCCTTTTCCTGCTAGTCAAGCTATATCTAATATATATCTGGGTATATTTTATTTAATAATTGTTTTATTGCAAAAAAAAAAGTTATTATTAGGAAATATAACAAATAAATAAAAATAAAAAAGAAGAAAATATAAGAGTTAGATTTTGTAAATGTTTGTTTTTCATGTTTCATAATTATGTAATACCAAAATCGTAATCATTAATTTAAAACTATCAAATAAGTTTCCAAGGGTAACTGGCTAAAATGCAGTATAATATAAGAAAGAGTTATTTTATTGAAGATTTGCAATTAATAAGTTGTTAACATTAAACAATTTTTTATTTTGTTTATAGAAAGGAAACCAACAAAGCTTCATTCCAACCAGCTTAGCACAAATGGTAAAAACATCACTTCTAAAAACGGTTATTTTCATAGCCACATAGATTTTTAAAAATATTAAAGCATCAGCATTGAAATGTTATGGCAAAGGATCAGTTTAACATTGTTCATTGAAAGATGTTGAATTAGAAGAATTGATGAAAAAATAAAAATTATGTAAGCTATTTTTAAAAAGTCATATATCTTGATATTTTTATTGCTTTATATGCATTATATGCTTAACAATAATTAAAAGATGTGTTATCTGAACAACAATAGAAGTTATCTTTTTATATCTCCCATTTCCGTTTAGAAATCTTTGAAACAACTTCAAGCATATGGATTACATCTTGTATATTACTAATATTAGCATCAACAGTATGGATGACAAATCTTTTTTTCCCATAAATTCAGATTCTTGAGAAAATCCTTGCTACATCATACTATTAGCAATGATTTTGATAGTTAAACTTCAGGAACTGATGTTTAACTTTCGAATCATAAACTAAACGTTGATATAAATTAAAAAAGGTATTAAGAATCAATAACAAAGAAAAGCAACTTAATGGTAAATTTTCCTTTAATGTTTTTGTTTATTATTTCAAAAATTTTTCTTTTATCATTGCTCTATTTTTAATCAAACTTTTTTGTGTTCTATTTGGGTCAATATTTAAGTATATGTATCAAAAATGTGCTAAAAATAATTTCACCTCATGGTTTTTGTGTCAAATATACATCCAACATTCTTTAGATTTAAAGCTCTATAATGTTTGTAAATTTGAAAATTTCAAAATAAAAATAATAAAATTTTTAGGGTTTTAAAACCTAATAATTTCAACCTCATGTGATTTGCATGGTAGTTTGTGATTAAAAAAAGATTCCAGGCCTCTTATCTGCCAAAAAAATGTCTTAATTTTAGTTAAAATCTATTAATTGCCAGAAAGTTTTTAAACAGAGTTAAAAACAGCTTTTTTTTTATAAGGGGTTGTCCATAAATTACATCATGCTTCAAGGAGGGATTAAAGGTTTTGTGACAACTTGCTTCATAAGTGATACGATTTTGTGACAATGGGGGTGGGGAGGTCAAAAACAGTTAAAAATTGTGTGACGTAATTTATGGACGACCCCTAACACAAGATATGGCCTACTATCTGTTGATCAGCTGGCTATCAACGCTTACTTGTAAAAAGCAACCAACAAAATCTTCAATATACATCAGAATCTCCATGAAGTGTCGGAGCAAGAAACACTAAACTATGATAACTGATTTAGGAAACATGAGTAAGGTAAGAGAAGAGTCATATTTTTAATCAATTTCTATTTTCTGTGTTATGTTTATATGTGAAATATTAATTAAATTAAATGATAAAATGTTTATGATAAAATAATAAAATTAAGTTGCACATTATAAAAATGGCTCATCTGGTATTTAACAAGTATCACTCACCAGCACAGGCAGTGTTAATCTTATACCAAAAGTCATTTGAGTTTGTTTAAAACCACAGTTGGTGCAAAAAAAAAAATTGTTTATGAAAAGCTGAATCCTTTCTTGACAATTTACAAAAAATGTGTAACATATCTTAGTATCGTGAAATGTTGTTACTTAGAACAGTGGGGTAACTTTGGAAAATAAATTTTTAATAAAAATCTTTCTAGTAGAGTTTTTGTCCAATGTTACCCCACTGTTCAAAATAAAAACATTTAATGGTAGTCTTGAAAAAATTAAACTACATGGAGTCATAAATAAAAGTTGTCAGTGGTGAAAAGCAGCAATACATGATCCTATTTTACTATCAAAATTAAAATTCTTTGAAATAGTATCTGAAGTTAAACACATTTCTGAAAGGGTTTCAAACAGATAAACTTTTTAGGGGTTTCAAACAGATTAACTTCTAGAAAACATTTAGGTACCATTTATGACTACTATTTTTAGTGATATAGTCAAAGACAATTTATCCTCAAAAATGCTGCAAAAAATATGATGCACTTTATTTTCAAACTTGACATAAAAGACTTTAACTTGAAATAAAAGCATTAAAATGGGCAAAGAGATGCAGCATCATGCAAGAAAAGCAAGCAGTTGCTACTGTGAAATCTTACAAAAGCAAAAAATTAAAAAAAGAAAAAAAAAATGTGGCATAAAATTAAAAAATTGTTTGCAGTTCAAACTTAAATTGATTTTTTATCGAACAAGTCTGATAAGCTTGCCACTAATGCAGAAAAGTAAAGTTACTTTTAAAAGAGTAACTAAAAACTACACTTTTAAAAGAGTCCGATAAAAAAAAAGTTGTTTAAAATTTGATTAAAAAAAAGCTAAACAAGGAGTAGACATTATTTCAATAAATAATGTCTACTCCTTGACTTTACATAAATCCAAAAAGTTAAAGTCGATTTTACGTTCAATAGCAAGAAATCCAAACCAGTCACAGCAAGATCTAGCAAGAAAATTCAAGATTTTGTGTTCGAAACATATTGCAAGGCGGATTTTTTACAATTTCCTGGATTGAAGTTTTTGGGCAATAGTTAAAGGAGTTCTTTGAAAGGCAGGTGGAGTAAGAAATAATAAAAAGGAATTCCAAAAAAAGTGGATTTAAAGTGATATAAGTTATATTTAAAGTTGAATCATCAGCTCTGCTGATGATTCAATTTTAAACTCCTATCTTAACAAAAAGTATTATTTTTTTGATCTTAGAACAACTGATTTCACTAAAGCATATACTGTAACAGAGATTGCCATGTGAAATTTACCCCTAAAAAAAACTCATTTATTAACTGCAAACAATTGATGCAAACAAGCAATATTGCAACTGCTAACAAACGATATTGTAATACTATCAACATTCCAATATCGATGTCATCAATAAATGATGAGCAGCAACCCTCTCGCTGATCCACTTCTTTACATTATTTGGATTACCACTTGCAACTGACCTTTCATGAAAAACATATATACAATTGATTGCTAAATTAGCATCTGTTAAGGTTGTTTCTCTTTAACAAGCTTGCTATTTTCATACTCCTGATTCTATTTTCGACCTAAAGTTGCATCTCTATCTCTTTTCTATAAAAAAATGTTAATATTTAACTTTTAGTATGTTAATATTCTGCTTATATACTAAAAATAATTTTATTCTGTTAATATATTTATATTCAAATTTTAGCATTTTTATTTTAAAAAAAGGTATTAATAATTTATTATTTAAAAAAAGGTATTAACACTTTCTGTCCTCTACGTCATATAGTCTCCATATATAAATGATTCTGGGTCAATATGTCCTCTAAATATAAATGATTCCATAAACAAGTCATCTGGTCCAGCAGATTTTCTATTTTTTTACTTATGCAAAGCATTAGTAACATCTTTAATAGTAACTCTAACAGGTATGTCTAGCAATGAAGAATGTACTTTCTGCTCAAAGTGTATGCCTCAGAAAATACCACACCCAACTTGTTTTTCTGCACATTGATTTTGTTAAACAATTTTTATTAGCCAGAATTTAGGGCTGGGATAAAAAAGTGCATAGGTTTTTGTGTGCTGACATACATTGAATACATAAGCTTTAGGTATTTCTACTATTACTAATAGCATGTACTAATTTATATACTACATTTAAACAGCGGTATACACATCTTTTTTTGTCAAAAATTTCAAAAATTTTGAAATTTGTGTTAAGTGATTTTCTACTAACTTATATAAATATATATATGTGTGTGTATATATATATATATATATATATATATATATATATATATATATATATATATATATATATATATATATATATATATATATATATATGTAATATATATGATATATATCTCATATATAGTTATATATATATACATATATATATATATATATATATATATATACATATATATACATATATATATATATATATATATATATATATATATATATATATATATATATATATATATATATATAAAATATTTATATGTAATATATATATATATGTGTATATATATATATATATATATATATATATATATATATATATATATATATATATATATACATATATATATATATATATATATATATATGAAATATTTATATGTAATATATATATATATGTGTATATATATATATATATATACATATATATATATATATATATATATATATATTTATATATATATATATATATATATATATATATATATATAAATATATATATATATATATATATATATATATATATATATATATATATATATATAATATATATATATATATATATATATATATATATATATATATATATATATATATATATATATGTTATATAACGCTGATTTACCATTAACTTTTTACCATTATACAATAATAACATTAAACAGTTGGTAAAAATTTTTTAGCATGCACCAAAAGTAGGTTTTTGTTGTTTTTGTATTGTTTTCCGTTTGCGCGTAAGTATAAATAACTTTCCAGGTCCGCACTTTAAACAATTTTCACAACCTACTTTTGGTGCATGCTAAAAATCGCTAACCACCATATATAACATGTTGTGTTGTTTTTGAAAAACATGCCGTCCACCGAAAGAAATAAAACGTTTTATTCGATGAAAGCTTTTGTTAACATGGATGCTGCTATGCTTTTTTTGAAGAGTTTTTTGATTTTACTTTGTTTTGTGAACTCAGTTCTTTATAATCATTTGTATTTTAGATATAACTGAAAATAAAATAATCTTCATTTTCCACAATAAAGATGCCTCGTTAAACAGACCCGGTCAAAAAGCTTTTTCTAAAAACCACAGGTAAAACAACCAACTCATACAGTTGCAAATATTGTGGAAAAGGTTATTCCAAGAATACACATAATTTACTGGTTCATATTTATAAATGCAGTAAAATACCAGAAGAATTAAGAAATGCTGTTGTTAAAGAAAAAATAGCAGAAAAAAAAACACATCAAAACTTTAAGTAAGACTCCATCATGAAAAGGTAGAGATGTTTTTCGAAGTTGTTTTTGTTGTTATTTTGTTATTAGTTATTATAAAAGAAGTTTTTCTTTATTGTACAGAAATTACGAGATCAAGTATTGAAAGCATAGATGCAATAACAGTTGATATAACAGAGTTAAAAGAATTGTCTTCATCTTCTGTTCAATCGGTTTTTCGTCTAAAAAATCAAAAAGTCGATGAAATGTTTATTGCATTGGAACAAAAACAAGTATGTTTGCTTTAATTAGCTGCACACTTCTGATGAAAATACTGTTTTCTTTTGATAAACTACAAAAGGATGCAAAAAGCAAGCTTGTTGCATTCTAATTTTTTGGTCATTACACATCAAAATTATATTGTGTTGTTAAATTTGTTTAAGTATATCAATAAAATATATCAATATGACTTATTAATTTTATTTGATATTTTAATGATTTTCACTTTAGGCTAGATTTTATGAAATATTTTTAAGTTGCATAATACAAATTACATTGAATTGCCTTTATACGATTCAACATAATATGTATTGTTGTTATAGTAAATAAAGTATAATACATATAAGTATATGTATTTAATTGTTTAATATGTGTTTTAATTATTTTTTTTAAGGAAGCTTTCAAATATGACTTTTCTCGAGCTATATTTGCATCAGGGTACCCTCTAAACATGGTTGAATTTCCCATTTGGAAGCAATTTTTTTCAAAGTACCTGCCTGCAATAAATTTGCCCAATCGAAAATCTCTCTTTGAAAATTTACTTGATAATGAATATTATAGGATAAAAGCACTAGTTGAAAAAAAAAATTCTGATTCACTTTCTCTTGCAATTCAATGGGATGGCTTTTCCAATATTAGATAGTTTGTTTACTCTTTTGAAAATTATCTAATGGTTTTAATAAACTTGCAAAACTAAAAGAAAATGTACAATTTAATAATCAAATAATTAAAAAATACTAAGTTTATTAAACAAATAATATTTATTTTTGTCTAAATTAAAATAGTTACTATTCAAAGGTCTTATATTTTTAGGAGAGAGCCAATTATTCATGTGGTTTTACTACACCTGAACCTGTGCTTTACAGGAGTATTTGCCCTGGTACCCAGCCACAAACAGGTGCCTACATGGCAGAGATTATTATTAATTGTTTTTTGGTAATTTGTTTGCTGGTAATGCTATAACACTTGGAACTGTATTATCTAACATAGCTTGGCTATGTCGGATATAAAATTAGCCCTTGATAACTTTATATCTAAAACAGGGTTGACAGATTTAGAATGTGTGGAAATGCAAAATTATTTTACGTTAAGAAAAGAAATGTCTGTCACAAACCTTCACTTAGCTGCAAAACTTGCTTGATCCGCAAATAAAAGGTTCAATCCTATCTGGTTCAGAATTTTTGGAAGCAATGGAATATACAGAAATTTTAGCAAAAAATTTGTCTATAAATAATAATGTTGACTTGTCAGTTATTGCAAAAGATATTACCCAGTTTGTAAATTCTACTGGACTGTGGGCATATAGCTATGTTGAGCAACTTGCTAGAAATCAAGATTCTATAACATATTGGCAAGCTCTAAAAAAATCTAGTCCACTTGTTGATTTGGCTATTAAAATTTTATTGATGCCATCTTCAGCTGCTACTGAAAGAACTTTTAGTACTAGAGGCTTTATCCACAGAAAACTTCGAAATTCTCTAACTAATGAAAGAGCTAGTAGGTTGACTTACGTAAAACAAAACTATATGCTGATGAATTTAAACCTAAAAGGTCAATTGCAAGATTTTAAAAGTTCATTTAGCAACCCAAAGAAGTAAAAAATTAGTTTGTCCTCGCTAATCATGCACATATTGATGGCAGTGATTACGAGGATACAACACGATCAGAAGGAGAAAGCAATGAAAGTGAGTCTGAGGAAGATATAGATTTTGTGTCAGATTCCTCTTTGAGGTAAAACTAAAAAATACTTATTTTATTCATTTTAATGTACTATGAATTAGTTAGCTAAACGTGTAAATTTAAACTGAATTAGTTTAAATTTAATCCTTATTGACTAAAACAAAATTCATTGTTTGTTGTTTACATATTTTTTACATATAATCAAGTGTAGTAGTTATTATGTTTAACATGAGTATTTAAATTCTTTCTTTTAGAACAACATCGAAATATGAATTGAACCAAGTAGACTTCCAATGGCCAGAGATAAAAGAGTATATCGTTAAAAAAGTGGAACATGAGAACGAACAAGTCTGAAATGTTTTATTTTATAAAATTTTTAGATTTTATTTTGAAAGATGATATTTTTTATTGATAATATGATATTATGATATTTTATTTTAAAAGATGATATTTAATAAAAGAGAAAATATCAATAAGAGTCATTCTTGGGAGTAAGATTAAAGGCGACATAAAGTTTAAGTTACTTCTAGAATAGAGTTAAAATCAAACTAATCTAAATGTTGTATGGTGATTATTCTTATTTTGCCTATTTTCTTCAAAAAAGAGGTTGTTCGGCTCCCCATCTATGCTTTTATACTGGAAGGATAAAATTGGTAAAAAAAAAAAGAAGTCTTTTCGTTTTTCGGCCTTCTCGATTATTAAACAAGTTTCTTAATCAATAAAAAACGTCCTTTATGCGTAATATTTTTGTGTAAGAATGTCTACAACGTATTGACTCGCACAATAGACAAGTCTTAGCATTTTGAGGTCTTCTGTTTAAGACCTGTACATGATTTAAACGTAAAAAACAGAATGGTAAGATAAATTTGCGCCACTGTAATCAGAGAAGTACATTAAACTTGATCAATATTTTAGGTATATATAGTGCTTACTATGCAAAGTCGAACTATAAGTCTGAAATGAAAGAATTTTGTTAATACTGAAAAAAGCATCTCAGATAAGGTATCTCTCCATTTTAAATAGCAAACTATATTAGTTTTTTATATAAATCTACATTAGTTTTATCAAACTATTATTGACTAAAAGTTAAAATTAAAGTAGACTGTGAAAGCCTTCGGAAACCTTCTCACATATAAGTGCAACTTCCTTATTTTTCATTGCGGTATGCGGCTCATCAAAACACTTTTACAGTCTGTTTATTTCGGTCAGCTTATGTGTTATGCGTTTCGCTTAGCTGAATATTGCTTGGTAAGCAATATTAATACTTGATAAGCAATGTTTAATTATTGCTTGCTTAAAATGCATCATAACAGCAGGTTTTAATAAAATATTAAAAGTAATTTTTTTTATCCCAATTTGATAAAATAAAGTAGTTATATTCGCTAAGCCGGAGAGCTTTTAAATCCAATCTTTTAAAATGCCGACTTAAATTAAGCGCGTTAGTTAAGGCAAGCTGCATATATGACTTAGTGTTGCACTTCGTCAATGAGCTATTGACTCAATATTTGAAATGCGAAAAGCACGTGTTTTTCGCAAAAACACGTGTTTTTTAAAGGAATGAAACATCAAATTGAAAAACATATTTTTTGCCCACCACTAATTTCATGGTAATTACTCAAGATTAGGTTCTAACTATTTGTAAATGACCTCGATTGTAAGATCTTTTATCGAAAAATATATTGAATGATATCCATTTTAAATGAAAAACAGCCACTGAATTTTTTTTCATCAATAAATTTAACAATATGATAAAACTTATCCTTCTCATAGAAATAAAATATATGCTAAATGTAAAAATGCTAAAAGTATCGTAATGATAGAAAATAAGCTACTATATACTAATTAGTTATTTATTTGCATGAAACTATTTTACAAATACTTTTATTATATAACAGTATATGTAAAAGTAAAATTCAGATAGATATAAATTATATCTCTCTGAATTAATACCTCTCCTTTATAAATCGCTCAATGTAAGACAGTCTGATCTTTATTACAGTATAATGATTAAAATTCTACAACTATAAAATTATTAATAATTAGTTGATAGTTGTATAATTTCTGTTTAAACTGAATAAATTAGTTATATAATAATGTAAAATTAATTTACAAATATCTGTCTGAATTATACCCTCCCCCTGAGTAAATTACTAAACTTGCCTCTGAATTATTTCCTTTTTCCTTTTTAGCTAATCATTTAATAAAAGATGGTGTGGTAATGGTTTTGAGTGATGCAATAAATAGTGAACAACTATAAACTTTTAGTTATATATTTAATTAAAAATACTTTAAAAAAATACAACTTTAAGTTTCAAAATTATTACCTCCCCTTAGTTAATCGTTTAAAGTAAGACGGTGTGATAATGGCATGAAGTGATAGTAATCGGAATTATGCAACTATATATCAATAAGTTATAAAATTATGTAAAAATGATTTACAAGTATAATGCCTGAATCATCACATCCCCCAAAGTAAATCATGCAATACAAATGTTTGAATAGGAACATAGAATAAAAGTGTTATGCTTACTTTAATTAGTAAAGTTATTAGTCCAACATATCAATATTATTTTAGCCTCATTTAAAGATATTGTGACGTTATATTGGTATTTGATTTTTTTCCAAACTAACACATATTAATTTTTTGGTATGTATATATGTTTTAAAGTTCTATGTTTGCTATTTCATATGTTCTACAAAAAGTAGTATTGATTTTTTTATATTTTATTTAAAAATTATTTGTTTTATGCAAATTGAAAAGTATTTCTTTATTTAATAATTTTTTTTTTTTGTCTATTTGTTTTAGTTCGACGACAAGGTTCTGCTCTACTTCATTTTTTATGTTTAATTTGACTACTGTTGAAATATGGTTTTAATTTAGTAAATTTTCATGAATTGAAATTTACTTTATTAATCATTAGCCAACAGTTTAGGTAATAAAATTGAATTCATCGCCATTAAGGTAAGAATAACTTTGTTCTTTGGTCACACCATTAAACAGTTTTTTGTATTTTATTATTATCATGTCATTGCTATTTTGTGTAAATACATTATATTTTTCATGGCAGCATAAGTTTATATTATACTTAAAGTAAAAGGGGTACTATACTTATACTAACATCTATAAATAAACCTATTATTAGTTTATTAAGTTTCTGTAGTGGTGTAGTGGTAAAGCTACATAAGTCCAAAGTAGGACTACATTCAATTCGTTTCTTGGCGCAGAGGGCTTGTTTGTCAAGGTTTGTGTTTAGGAGTTATTAAGAGAGGGTTTTAACCACAACTAAAAGTTGCCTCCTTAACTGTAGCAGCCTTTAAAGCCTTGGAAAGGTAAATAACACACACACAAAAAAAGCTCATTTTATGTAATGTACTTATTTTTAAACAGGTTTTAAATTAGGTAATTGCTGGTTATCTGTTTAATAACATCTGTTGCCAAAAACAGTTCAGTTAAATAGAAAGGACACTTTTTTTTCAATATCTTTGCTTCCAACAAGGCTGCAATCAACCACTAATAGAGTTGGAAGTTACTGGAATAAAATGAAGTTTATAAAGCAAGATAACAATTGACATATGACTTTAAAGATTAGAAATTATATGAATCAAAATAGAAACTGAAGCAGGTGAATTCCAAAGAACTGATGTTCAAAGAAAAAAACTAGATGAATAAGAATTTTTGGAGCACTTAGGAACAGTCACAGAAAAAGGATAAGACTTAATCGAATAAGGAGTAGCATGAGTATTTGTAGAATTGAGAAAAAGAAGCAACATTACATGTGATATAATGGTTAGAGGTTTGCAAGACCAGGTCCAACTATGTGTTTTTGTACCTTGTCTGAAGGGCAAGAGTATCATTTTAAGATCCACCCCTCCTTTCCCCAGATATGGCAACAATATTCCATATAAGACATTTTGGAGATTTTAATTAATTGTTAAATCAAAATTATGCAATAAGTTAAAGCAAATCAAGCACTGACTTTAGAAAAACAATAAATCTATAGCAGAGTATGGTTTTTATCTTATGCTAAATCTTGTAATTCCAATAAAAAAAAAAATTTTAATTACTTTTTGCAGTAGACGTCAACCACTTTCAATAAAAAAAATAAATCTTTTTTCAGATTAAAGTTTATTTTTTTAATTCAAGAAAAAGTGTCAAACTTATTTAATTTGATTCAGCATTTTTTAAATAACTTTTGACTTGCTTTACAAGTACGAATTTCAAAAAGGTTGCTACAACCCTCAGAAAAAAATCTTTATTTCATCTTTTTATTATATAAGCAAGTATAAAATCTTCAATTTTAAAATTTCTACGAATAATTATTATTTGTTCAAGCTTTTCTTAAAATTTTCAACAAGGTTATCTGAAACAAAAATGTAATAAAAAAAAAAACTATTAAATTTTCAAGGTTATGTTAGCTGAATTGCTTTTTGAATTAATCTGAATTAAAGTTCACCAGCCACTGTGAGCCCCATGCTGTAGCAGAAGTGAGATCCTTTTCAAGCTCAGATACCCCCTCCAGGCAATCAGAGAGTGTAGGCTTCTTATCATGACAAGGGTAAATGGTAGTGTCGTCAGTGAATAATGCCACCTTAGATGTGAGAATATCTGGGAGATCGTTAATGTAAATTAAAAAGAGTATAGGGCCAAGGATTGAACCTTGAGGAACCCCTGAAGTTACAGGATATAAAGAAGAGTGTTGTCCATCAAGAACAACTTTTATACTACGATTGGAAAGAAAGGACTCAATAATCTTAAAGATGTTACCAGATACACCATAAGAAGAAAGCTTATGAAGAAGACCAGCATGCCAAACTTTATCAAATGCTTTAGAAATGTCAAGTGCGATAGCCTTAACCTCTCCACCTCTATCTAATGCACGGTAAAACCTATCGGTTATTACTGATAGCAAATCAGCTGACAAAGTCTGAACCATACAAGAGAGAAGGAATAACAGATTTGCCCTTATTATTGATACTGTTAAAGATTCTCCAGAAGTCTCAAGAGCCTAATTTTTGTGATGAGATACGAGATTTTATGACCTGAGAATAGCGAGCTTTGGCGTCAGACAAAACCTTTTTACAATGGTTTCTGGCGATAGTGAACAGATGCCTGTTTTCTGGAGAACTGTTTTGCTGATAGATATGGAAGTAACGGTTTCGATTAGAAATTGCTGCAGCGCAATGTGAGGAAAACCAAGGAGAAGAGTGAGGCTTGACCTGGAATCGTCAAGAGGGAATAAAAGATTCCATTCCAGCCTGAATCCACGAAGTTATGTAAGAAGCACATTTGTCAGCAGGAAGACGAAAGATTTCTACCCAAGGGCCATCACGAAGAAAATCACGGAAAGAGTCCCAGTCAGCTTTAAGGTAGTTGTATGTGGTACGATGATAGGGGGATTCTGATGAAGTAGAAGAATTTGATAATAGTTTTAGAGAGATCAAACAGTGATCAGAAGCACCTAAGGGTGAATGTGGAGAAATTGAGCACTGACTAGGATCCAAAACAAGACATAAGTCAAGTATAGAAGGTAAATGATTAGGGTTGTCCGGAAAGCGAGTTGGAAAGTTGACTATTTGAGTTAGAGATTGAGAAAGGCAAAAGTTGAGGGCCTTAACGCCAGCAGAGTCACTGACACTAGAGCCAAGCCAATCAGTGTGATGGGCATTAAAGTCACCAACAACGACGATATTGGCCAATGGATAAAGAGAGAGGGCTTGGTCAATTTGATCAGAAATAACATCAAGAATAGAGCAATCTTGGGATGAAGGAGAGCGATATAGAACAAAGAGAAAGACGATAGAGTGAAGTGGTGCTAAACGAAAGCACATAAAAGAATAGTCAGTAGATTCAAACCTAGTTTCACGACAAATGGGTGAGTTCTTACGAATGTAGATGCCCAGGCCAAGCATGTGATTATTGGAGTCTTTACGAATTAAAGGAAGATAACCATCAACACTAAGATCACAAGATGGGACAGCCGAACTCAAATTAGTCTCACAAAGAGCAAGTAGGTCTGGTGAACTTTGCAAGAGATAAGACTCAACAGAAGAAAAGTTACTTCGAAGACCACGAATATTAGTAAATGATAGGTTTAGAGAACTTGGTGATGACAATGGTTTTTTGTGTTTATTAGTTTTAGGTACTTTAGTCATTTTAAATTTATAAAGAACTTGACTCAAGTATAGATAGTACTCAGTACACTATTTAACAACTAAGCAATAACCTCATTACTATTAATAAACCCTAAGCCGTGACAAAGGGCTCCAAATGTGGCCTCTGCAATGCACACCAAAAGTACGAACAGGGACACCATCCATGCGCAACATGGCACTGTTAGTACTCTGATATTTTTTGGCTGTTGATGGAATCAGCCTCTCTGAGAGCTACCACAGAGTTCGGGAAACCTGACTACCAGCCGGCCTCAGAACCATAAAACTGAGTTTTAGAGCTGTACCCTCATTAGGAGATAATAGAATGAGTTGCCCAGTCATAAAAATAGAGACACAAGCAATACCCACGCATTGAGTCAAGAAGATCCAGCATTCAACATCCTAAACTGGAAACAATGTATTAAAAATACATCTGCGCCAGCCTAATAGATGAGGAAGGGGTGCAAGACTGGTCAACAGAAAAAATCTGTTTACCCCTTAATTCTTTGCCTAGGAGGCCTTCTACAAGACAGTAGCCGGATGCATTTAACATCTGCCCAAGATGAGTATTTTTATTGAGACACCATCTCTAGCCTTTACTCAACCAAGAGCCCCAAGGCAGGGGGTGTTTTAATTCGGAGTTAACTTCTCCTAGCCTTTGCCTAAAATAGCGTATCCTACAAGGCAGCATGACATGAAGCAGGTTGTACTGGGTTACATGTTACCAGTAGCAGGAAAACCTGACCTGACCTGAGTATAATAAGTAAACTAGTTATATTATATTTGTATAATATCTATTACTATCAATCTTTTTTATATAACCTTCCTTATATTATCTTTCAAAAAAATGGAATTGGAACATTACAAAAGACCAAGTAAACTTTATTTCTCGAATTCTTGTCCTCGAAGCGTCATTTTCGTTGTTTATGTTTATGTTAATTATGTTATGTTAAGGTAACCCGGACCTTTTAGGAACACATCTAACAGCTATAACCAGAAAGCGCAACCTCGTTTTGAGTTTTCAATAGGGGGAGGTGATAATTCAGGCGGAGGTAATAATCTATCACAGTTCACGCCTACTTTCACACCGTGATGCGAAATTATGTCCAGAGCTCGCTTCGAACCTGGATCTCCTGCTTATAAATTAAGCGTTCTAACCAGGGGTGTGGAGTCGTAAAAAAAAAAGAAACGACTCCGACTCCGACTCCAGTTGTTGAAATTTTTTGAGTACAACTCCGACTCCAACTCCGACTCCGACTACAACTCCAGAGCAAAATTTTTTAAAAATTCTTTGAATTCTTTAAAAAATTTTACACAATAAAAAAATTTTTTTGGCAAGTTAATGAAACGTTTTTTTAGGTTTAGTGTGAACATAAGGTTAATTGAATGTTTTGTACATGCGCGTGCAATATCGAGAAGTTTTACTATTGAAGTCAAAGTCGCGATTTTGTTTAGCGACTCCGACTCCGCTAAAAATGTTGCAACTCCGCAACTCCGACTCCGACTCCACAGCCCTGGTTCTAACCGCTGCACCACGGCTGCTTACGTCATATAGCTATGAATGAATGCATAATAAAGTTGTGATAAAACTTTTTTATTTATATAAATTCTGGCCTTAAAAAGAATTCCGATATTTTTGGAAACTTTAGTACCAACATAATTAACACGTTGCTTCCATGTTCTCATCAAGGAATACACTTAAAAATTTTGTGACGCAATCTCTTTTTATTTCAATTTGGTCAATAAAAATATCAGCTAGAGCTGGAGGTAAATAACGTTTTTTAGTTTTAGAATGAAAAAGAATCCATTTTGTTTCTTTAACATTTTGGGTAAGTTTATTGCATTTGAAGCGGCTAGAAGTATTTTTGAGTTTTTTATTTATAGTAGTAAAGAGTTTATTAATATTGTTATCAGATAAAAATAAATTAGTATCATCCGCAAACATGTTACTTTTTTTTTTTTTTAAACTTGTTATTTAGGTGCCCCAAGAAGTCCCAACGGTCTTGTCACAGATCACCGCGGAAGTGCATTTAACCAGGAAGCTTTTTGCAAATCATTAATGTAGATTATAAAAAGAAGTGGCCCTAAAATTGATTCTTGAGGAACATTTACATAAAATATCTAAAACTTTTTTTTGATAAGTATCGTTAAAAGAAAGATATTGTTTTCGGTTTGTATGTATGTGTGCGTGTGTGTGTGTGTGCGTGTGCGTGTGTGTGTGTGTGTGTGTGTGTGTGTGTGTGTGTATGTGTGTGTGGTGTGTGTAGAGTTGGACTAGCTCTTTGTGGCGACCCGGGGGATAATATTTCTAGCGACCCTCTATAAAATCTTTAAAAAAAATCACATAATATATATATAATTAGAATATATTTTTTTTGTACCTTAGTAGCAGCAACTGCGATTTATATTAGTGGCCCATTGTAAGTAAGATTTCAGCGGCCCACCGGGTTTCCCCCGGCATACTGGTGGACAATTCCAACCCTGTGTGTGTGTGTGTGTGTATGTGTGTGTGTGTGTGTTTGTGTGTGTGTGTGTGTGTGTGTGTGTGTGTGTGTGTGTGTGTGTGTGTGTGTGTGTGTGTGTGTGTGTGAGTGAAAAAACCTTTTTCCTGTTGTCGCGTATTGCGTCAATTGGTTTTTAACGTCGAAGAAGACGATTAGTTCTTATGATTTTTATCATGTGATTGATGATCACAGAAAAATAAATAACAAATATGGCGGACAAAGATTCTCTTAGACTTTATAATGTTGTTTTAAATGGGGTTTGTTTTATGCTAATCTTTACAGCGTTTAATACTAGTGGAAATATTCAAGTATGTTGTTATGTTCTTTAAATGTATTTTTATAGGTTTATTTTAATTTTAAGTCAACTTAAAATTAATATAAACCCAAATATTTCAAAAATTTTTTTTTTTTTTTTTGACAGAAAACATTTTTCTACAGATTTTATGTATAAAGTGCGCAGCGCTATACTAAATAAAATGTTCATTGCGCTCATTAACATAAAGTTAGAACATCTGGGCATACTAACAGAGATTACCACTTTATTATGAATAATAAAGTGTCAAAATGAATGAATATAGTATAAAATTTTTTTTACTACTTTGCAGCGTGTAAAAATAAGATTTTTTTATAATTCAAATAAGTATATATAATTAATATAATTGTATAGAGCTTGAATTAACTTTGAAAATGAGGGGTCATTTGGCCTTTGAAGTAGTGTTTCCAAAGTTATTGAATTTTTTGTATTTTAAAAATTGACAAAAGGTGTTAGGCTTAAGTATGGAAAATTTTCAGTGTTATGCCACTGAAAAAGCGATTATTTTTAGATCATATTAACTTTTAAATAATTTTGGAAATTTTATTACATTTGACTTGAAATTTTTCATTGTGTTCCAACAACTATATGAAAATAAAATACCACAATTTTTTTATTAAATATGTCTAAATTGCTAACAATCATCTATTTTACAGACTAAGGGTTTTTACTTATTTACTTAGTTTAATTCTTATCTCAATGGTTATAACTTGGTATCAAATAATAGATGTAAGAGTAAGCTACAAATCTAAATTGTCCCATGGGTGTCAGGTGTATTAAGGGATTAGAGGGGCACAATACCAGCATCTTTACTATCTGAAAATGCATAATTTTCCATTAAAAAAATTACTAGATTTGTATATTTTATATACAAAAAATAGTTTTTATTTTATTCCTAATCAAAAGCAAATATAAGAGGTCTATACTAGAGTTGTCTACCCTCAAAAAAAAGTGTAGCTGCAAGACTATCTTAACTTTTTAAAAGTTTCTTTACTATAACGTATTAAAATTTTTCATTAATATAAGTATTTTTATTGGAATCTAAAATGAGAGAAATTGGAATAAATGCATTCATTATATTGCAAGATATTTCAGAGTTTTATCCATTATTTTTTCATTCTCTTTGAAATATCTAAAAGAAAACCACTTGTGATTGCAATAGCTACAACAACAACAACAATAACAATATATATATATATATATATATATATATATATATATATATATATATATATATATATATATATATATATATTTTATATATATATATATATATATATATATATATATATATATATATATATATATATATATATATATATATATATATATATATATATACTAATTAAAAAATAATTACACTCATTTACTCCTTGGCAGGAGTAAATGAGTGCAAGAATGGAGAAAAGCTTTCCTAAAACGAACATGGCTTGTGAGCTGCTCTTCTAAACAGCTTCTTACGAGAGATGGTTTTTAAACAAGTTATCTGTTTATTCATTAAAAAAATTGATTATTAAATACAAAATTTGGTTTTATACTTGTTACAAGCATATGTTTTTAATGTTAATTAGGGTGTTAACCAGAAATAAATTTGATACAGCGTTTTGAAAATATGGGAACTTGTCAAAAAATTTCCCAATCTCCATTCTCCCTCCCCCTTCCATCCCCTCCAAGATTAAAATGTGTTTCTAGAATGCATGGGGTTTTTTTATTTTTTTCTTTCCTTTTCTACTCCATATAAAAAATAAAATCAACAAAAAATTAAAATGACCCGCAAAGTAATCAATAAATATTAATTATTATTAAGATTTTTATTTGATTTTAATATTTTATCTTAATATATTATTGCCACCTTCATTCTAAGAATATTCTTTTGAATATATATTTATTTTTTACTGGTCAGCATTGATGTAAATGGATTTCTTTTTTGATATCAGAGCAAATTGAGAAAACAACTAAATCATTAACACATTTCTCAAACACAAAGGAAACTGTTTATGTTTAAACCCTTAACTATCATGTAATAAATTTTATAAAGAGTATTAATCGCAAGCGATTGCACCAATGAAGTACACCAGTAATTACTTTTTCATTCATAATCATAAAATATTATTTAGACTGATTCATTCAAACATTGAAATTTGCTTTTACTTTTCAAATTCAGTGGTGAAGCCAGTTTTCTTGTTTTTTTTTTTTTTTTTTAAAGTTTTGTTATTAAACCTATTTAATTTTTGTTTTAATTTATAAGCTAGCAGTAAAGTTAATCAATCTATTTTCCTCGTTAAATAAATTTCTAGTACCAGTTTGTTATAACCATAAAATTTTTTTTGTATATAACTTTGTTTATACGTTTTTTTAAATACTTAATCCAGAAATAATAGTAGGTAGGTAAAAAGTCAATGCGATCACCTAATTTAGTTGATATAAACTACCAAACAAAAAAAGTAAAACAATAACTATAAAACTTATCCGCATTGATCAAAATTTCCACAGTATCTGGCGCAAACGGCTTCTCAATATTTTGAATAAACTTAGTTGACAAAGCACATGTACTACTTAAAATAGAGTTTGTAGTTAGACTTAATAAGCAGGGCAGACAACACCGGGGCAGGGGGGGCAGGGAACATGCGCCCCGCATTTTTTTTTTCTAAAGGACCTTTTTTTATTTCAGAAAATCTTAGATATAGAGGATGTTTCTTAGAAATTGACCCTCCATTTCAAAATTCCAGTTGTCGCCCATGATAAGTTATTTAAATTTTCAGCTAAAATGAGCTAAACTTTAAAAGAAATAGCATTTGCGTATATTAAACCAAACACATTTGTTATTTTTTTGGATCATACCCTATTTCTTGCTAACTTTTTTTATATAATATTTGCTGTTGTTTGAAGGCATTGCAAAGAATTATTAGCAAATATTGAGAAATGAATTTTAACTAAAACTAATAAAGAAAATCCCTAAAATTGCTGGGAAAATCCCAACTCTCAAGAAATTTTTCCCAAGAGACATTTTCACAGTTAAGGTAAGTTTCCAATCATCTGTTCTTCTACAGGAAAGGGATAGGAAAAAGGGAAGGGAAAAATAATCACATGAGCATGCATAGTTTTACTTTTAACGAATTAAAACTTATAATTCACATACCCACGTGAGTATTTTTCTTCCCTGTTTCTGTGAAAAAATGGATTAGTGGAAACTCACCTTTATTCAATCGCGTAGTTATACCAATAATAGTGATCTTATTTCAAGTTACTAAATTAGAATTTCTTATGTTATTTTTCTGTTATTTTTTTATGTTATTAGTATTTAATAACAATTAATTTTCTATAGTTTTGAGAATTATTATTAAATTTTAATGTATGACTTTACAAAATTTAAAAAGGAGAATTGGATTTTTGAATTTGGAATTTTAGTTTTATGAGCATTTGGGACTTCTCAGGGCTAGTTTACACCCTGTTAATGTTACAAGAATATATACATAACAAGCGTCATTTATTGCGCTGTCAAAAAATTCTTTAGATGCGTGTTGTCTTTAAGTTTTCACACTCACTATCCATTTATTTGTTACAACATTACTTATAAAAGTTAGAGCTGTAAAAGTTTTTACTGCTTATAAAAAATGTTTTATATTTTCTTATTGTAGTAGAATGCAGGCATTTAAGAATTATTACAACAATTAAAAATTCCACAATAAAAGTGATTAAAATAATAAAGTAATTAATATAAAAAACAGGGCTCGAATTAAACATATCGTAATCCCAAATTATAATTGCTTTTCACACCTTTGCAATTAGTTTAAAAAAATAATAATAATTTCATGATTTGCTTTTTTTTTTTTTTTTTTTAAATCTTATTTAGCTTTTTTTTTTGGCCATTCCTAATATAGAATACTGTGTATAGAAGTTAAGTACAAAATAAAGTATAGAATATTTCAATAAACAAAGTATAAAATATTTTGTCTAAAATTTTTATTAGGGGTGTCATACTATAGGGGGGAGGGGTTAGAGGTTAATGGTTTTGTAACAACTCATTCGGAACTTGCTACTAAAGAGTTATGATGTTGTGACAAGAGGAGGAGGGGGATAGGGTCTAAAATGGTCAAAAATTGCCTAATGTAATTTGTGGACAAACCATAAAGCACTATTGAATTTAAATTACTTTAAATCTCTGCGTAGAAGCCTTAATATTTTTAAGTTATATTTAGTTTAATGAATAAAAGTAAATCACAGTAAGTTAACTTATAAACTAAATCAAAACTGTTAAGTTATTAAAGTTAAGTGACTTAACTAATTTACCTAAAATACTCAAAGACTTACAAAAGTTTGCCATACAAATTTTTCTATTTATATCTTATATGTTGTTGACATATAAGCTTTTACCTAAAAATTATTTTGTCAAGTAATTTTGAATAAAATATGAAAAAGGCTATACCATTTTTCTATATTTTCATTTTATTTAAAGCGATACTAGATTAAACATTTTCTATAAGTATGAAAGTTGTTTTTAGGATTTTTTTTTAAAAATGAAATCTATTTGAACAAAAGAATTTTAGTCTTTAAAATTCTCTTGTTCAAATAATTTTGAAAATGCAATTAAAAATTTTTGCAATAGTAGTTGAAAAAAAATTTAGAAGTTTAAAAGAATTTTAACGCTTGCAGACAATATTACTAAAATTACTAATTTAATTGCAGCAATGTCAATACCCAGTGGCTAGTTTTATTTAAACCGTAAATATTTTGAATAGTTAAATATTTTAAAATAAAGGTTATTGCAAACATTAAACCAAAAATTTAATTAGAAAATATTTAAATTGAAAAATAAAATCATTTTACTTCTGTTCAAGTAATTTTTTTTTTCAAAAAAAATAATTTAAGCATCTACTTAAATTAAATTAACTTAACCAAATAAACTTAAATTTGTTAAACCAAATTTTTTTCTTTCACTTTTTATTGCAAAACAATTTCAATGAAAAAATTGAATAAAAATGTCAACTTAAAAAC